TCACCAGAACATTTGAGTCATAGCTAAAAAGAGAAACCAAGAACAGACTTTTCAAATAAAATAAGTTTTTCTGGAAATGTGTGAAGTTAGGTCATTACTGCAATGAAAAATATGGTCAAAGAGAAAAAAAATCCTAGAATGCATATCTGACTTCCCTGTGTTGTCTGCAATTTCCTCCCAAAATTGTGAGATGGAGCCTTAACAGAAGATGATGCCAGCATTTTTCACACCTCAGTATCTGGAGATAATTTCTAGTGCTATGAAGTATGACAGATATTGCCTGTAGTAAGAAACTGAGTCTGGAAAATCAAAGGTTATGGACTGTACCCAGGAAATTACTGGAAACAGCATTTCCTGCTTCTAATGGCATTATGTACAAAATTGCTCCATGTGCTATGTCATGCCATGGCATGGAGGACTTTGCCCACAAAGAACATGGAGAAACACCTCAATCCCAGTAATGTGAAAATCAGTGTTTTTTCTGGTAAGAGTGTCAGAAAGGGTTTTTTGGTGTGGGATTTTTGGGTTGTTTGTTGGGGGTTTTTTGGTGCTAATTATTTCTTAAATTTTAGAAATTATAAAATTTATCTTCTAATTGTATAGGTACCACATAAGTATATCCATGATCTGCCATTACAGAAAAAGAAAATTTTATTCTGAGGGGAAAATAATCAGTGATATCTGTAAGAAAAAAAGGGAATTCCATTATTACAAACGTATCTGTCAAACCCCACATTCTCAGACTTTGACTTCTGAAATGCACACTAAAATGAATAATACTATATCCTTATAATATATAATATAATATATAATATATAATATATAATATATAATTTATAATATATAATATATAATATATAATATATAATATATAATATATAATATATCCTCATCTCACAGCCCACACATAAGACAGAATGGAGACCAGAGTGGGAGTCACATCTGCAGACAGCACATCTTTTTCTGAGAGCAGTATCCAAAAGAAAAGTTATAAATGAAAACAACAAGATTTTTAAGCGCAAATCCTACTGGAAAATAGAATCATAGAGTAGAGGGAATCTGCTGTTACACTGTGAAGCAGGGGAAGCTCATACTAAAGGCAGGAATTTGGGAAAGTATCTTAATCCTAGATACATCAATTAATAATGGATTAACAATGCATCCTCCGAAATGACATGTCTGAGCTCTACAAAAAGAACACAGGAAAGAGCTGAGTTTGTTTGGATGCATGCACACCTACTAGTTTTTATGATGTGGGACAAAATATTGCTGGCTCAACTATACATGCTAAATGCTAAAATATTTAACCAAGTGAACTAGGGGCAAAATTGAGATGCAAGGTAAATGAGACATGAGTTATAATTGGTATGTTTGTTATGAAGAAGCAGAAAGCCAAATCTTGTTTTATTGAAGGGAGAAAAAGCCAGGGAGGGAGGGAAGAGAAAATCACCCAGCATCTCCCTCCTTTAAAAGGCCCAAGGATTCCTAGTAGAAGTCTGATGCCCATCGGATGTCATGGAGTGAACCCTGAATGTGTAACCTCTGGTCTCAGCACTTGTAACTATGAGCAATCAAACTGGTTGCCTCCTACATTTTACCAAAAACACCGTTATTGTGTTCTTCTCAAAAAACCTGCCTGGCCATAGAGAACAAACTGACTCTGAGTAACTTGAATGTGTTACCTGCACTGCTGCAGGTGTGAAGGGGGTAAGAGGGGAAAGTGGAGCGGAACTGCATCCTGGGGGACAGAGGTGGGATGAGGCTGTCTCTGTGCCTCTGCGTGTTTTCAGTTTACAAAAGGCCTGGCATTTCTGCTGTTAGTGAGGATTTTCTCCCTAGCACGCATGAGCGTGTGTCTCTCCTGGAAAAAGCAGAAATAAGCCCAGCATTTGGGCAAACCTCTTGGTGCATGAAGATTACCAGGCTACAAACGATAGTGTCTGTCCACAAAGCCACCATGGACATAGAACCAAACCAAAATGGTCTCCTTTTTTGTGTGAAATACCAGTTATTTTTCTTCCTGTCCTAAAAACATTAGTATTTTAATAAGTCACCAGAAGCTGAAGTAATGTAAAAGTCATGGCTTAGATTTAATTTTCCTAGCATGTTCCAGTTTGAATCAGGGCTTCAGTTATTTTCACAATATTTAAATTTAATGTCAAATTCATTTTTTTATTTACCTTCACACATTTTTCAATTTTTGAATATACATTTCTAAGACAGTTATACTAGACTTCTAGAAAGTTTACTGCTTTGTTGCATTAGCCCGGGGTAAATTAATACAAGAGAAAACTTCACAAAAGTATTTCAATTCTTAAACCTGAGATTCTCATATTTGTATGCTTTCTTAATTTTGAGATAAGAACGCTTTGCTTGAAGTGGGCTTATGAAAATCCACTAGGCCTGGAATTCAAATCTCATATTTTGAATCCTCAACAAAAATGGATGGCATTGATACAATTTTATTTTCAAAATAATTCAGAGTTTGTGAAATTCAAAATACTCTACAGTGAATAGAATTGATTTAATGTACACAAATATGAAGAAACCCAAACATTTTACAGAAAGCCTAGTGAGTGCTATATTACAAATCAGATGGTTTCCTTCGAGCAGCTGGTGCAAGTAAATGGTGTTACATTCATTGCTCTAAATTTTTACTTGCATTTTGATTTCATTTTGATCTTTAGTTTTCCTAAATGAAATGTAAGCCAAGTAACCCTGCAATTCCGCTAGAAATTTCTGACCACATTTTTCCCAACAACTTTCTCATGAAACAGAAACATCTATTCATTGCTGATAATCATTATAGCACACTGAAATCAATTTACAATATTAGAGCATGGCTGAATTTAGTCACACATCATTAATTACACTGTTTAAGAGCGAAGTCAGTCAAGCATTCATTTAATTTTGTGCTTCTTGCCATAAAACCTACTTCCTAAAGCCAAGAGCAGAGCGGTATTTGAGTCTCAGCAGATCAGCTGAGTTTTCTGTGTTTCTCTGCTGACATCTTCTGGCACAAGAGAAAGTTCTACAGTTTCCCAATTGCTTTTGAAATACTTAATAGTTTTTTCTCTTGAACAGCATCAGTATACGGTTTTTTTCCATTTTGGCCTTACATAATTTATCTGTAAGTTTTGCAATGTTCTGTCACATAGCCACTTGTAATTTGTCCACCCAAAAAAGATTTTAGGAGACTTGCAAATATAAAGATTAGTATTATAAAACAAATGCCCTTTGTATTACTAAATATTTGTGTTTCTACAAAAGAACCTACATATATTATTAAATTTAGCTGTTTAATAAATGTTTTTGCCAGTATTTATGCTGCTCAGACTTTACTTTCAGACCACAAATGAACTATCCAGATCTAGGCCTGATTCTGTCTTTAAGTTCTTATTTACTACACCTTCCCATTTTCATATTTTAACAAATAGATTAAAATATTTGCATTATTTTTTAAGCTCCTACATTTATAGTGAAATAGCCCAGTAACATTCTCTCAACCATCCTTCACCACTACATAACCACATATTTGAAAGCTATATAAAACACGCTTTTTTTTCCTGAGCCTTTGGCTCATAGCAATTAAGTCCATGGAGGATAAGGTACCCTGATATCCATCTGGGAGCACTTTGGACACTCTAAACTCCCCAATTACTGCTGCAGATGAAGAGAAGGCAGCTATTTCAGGAGGCAGAATGATAGTTTTGGGTCCTCTGCAGGCAGCGGAAGTCCAAGGCAAGATCTGACCTGTGGTTTACTCTCTTCAAAGTAAGGATGTCATGCCAGGATTTCCTGAAAATATGAAATCTGGCAATGAACATCTTGCTTAAACTGGATGAGCTCACTGGTATACCGGTATGCCTAAGGTTACCAAACACACGTAAGGCCTTGGGACTGGCCACTCTGGGAGTACACAGCCACCATGAGATTGTGCTGCAAGACAGTAACTTTCCTGAATGAAAATGTCATTATTAGAGAAAAACATCAGGAGAGGAGGGAAAGGTGGTTGCAGAGTAAAAGTCAAGCCTGAATATCACATATTTTTCTTAGAGGTGTCTGTAGCTTCCGAGCCACTGAGCTGGGAAGCCACTGGCTTCCCTTGGGACAGCTGCAGGTGTTCCTGCAGTTCAAGTCTGACACAACCACTACATATTATTTTCCCCCCTCCCCTGGGAAATCAGATAGTGGTCAACCCGATTTTTATTTTATTTTAGAGAGTACTCCCGATCACTGATCCATCCTTGATTGAGCACCTGCGACAGGGAGAATGGTAGCCAGGTATCCCTGTGTTCTGGAGCGAGTCCAGAGAAAGGTCAAGGAGCTGGGGAAGGGTCTGGAGCACAAGTGTGATGAGGAGCAGCTGAGGGAGCTGGGGGTGTTTGGAGCTCGGGGAGACCTGATCGCTCCCTACAACTCCCTGAGTGTAGCCAGGTGGGAATCCACCTCTTCTTCCAGGCAAGAACTGACAGAACAGGAGGACCGTCTTCAGCTGCGCCATGGAAGGTCTAGGCTGGACATTAGGAGGAATTTCTCCACAGACAGGTTGATTCGACACTGGAACGAGCTGTCCGGGGGTGGCGGAGTCACAGTCCCTGGAAGAGTTCAAGCAAAGACTGGAAATGGCACTCAGCGCCGTGGTCTACAACTTAGCGAACGTGGCGTTCGGTCACAAGTCAGACTCGCTGATCTCGGGGATCTTTCCCAACTTAATCGATTCTGTGATTCTTCCCGCGACAGCGAGCAGAGCGCGGTCGTGCGAGCGCCGGGCCGCGCTCACAGCCCTCACGGGCGCGGACAGAGCATGGGCCGCGTCCAGCCGCCGCACCCCGTGACAGGCCGCCTTCGCTCGCACCACCCCAGGGCGGCCCCGGACAGCCCCGCGGCACCGCTCGGCTCCATCGCCCGGCTCCCGCTGGGGCCGGGCCGGCGCGGCCGGCCCCGGTTGCATCAGCCGCGGGCCGAGCGGCGCCTGCGCCCGGCCGTGCCGTGCCCGCCCCTTCCCGGGCGGCTCCGCGGCCATGGCGGGCGCTGACAGCCAGGTGGGCTCCGCGCCGCGGCTCGGCAGCGCGGGCCGGCGGGGGAGCTGGGCCTCTTCCCCAGCATTTCCCCTGCTCCGGGGGGCGGTGGGGTGTGCCCCAAGGAAAAGGAGCAGGGAGCTAGGGGCACGCGGGCTTTGCGGGACGAGGAGATCGGGTCTTTTCCGCCGTGTGCGGGGCAGGGGGGACTTAAAGCGCCTTAGGTGTGAGTGACTGCCGGGGCATGACTAAACGGTGCTTGCCCTCCGCAGGTGGACGCTGGGGAAGAGAAGAAGGCAGACTGCGGGAAGAAGAAGATGAAGGAAGGGGCTGGCGATGGAGGGCGGTCGGAGGTGAGCAGCCCCTGGGCCGCGGGGGTGGGAGGATGCGGAGTCCTCGTTGCTGGTCTGTGCGCTGCTGTCATTGGTACAGTTTGTCCTTCTGGGGTGTTTTATCAGGCGATACAGTTACCCCTCCGACTGTGTGCCTTGCAGTGCCGTTGTTGGCTTTTTAAGTTGGGTTGGTGTAATAGGAGAAGAGCTCAGATTCCCATAGCTGGGTTAGGTTATGCTTTTCCCAGTTCCTCTTTGCAGCGGGAAGCAGGCAGCAGATCGCCGAGGTGGAGAACGCCTGCTTCAGGTGCTCTTGTCTTCGTGGTGGGTAAGCAGAGATCGCTGTGGGCCCGCGGGCAGCCCGGTGTGAGCCGAGTGCGTGGCTGTGCCCGGCGGACGGGCCTGACGTCAGGACACATGTTAAACTGAGTCGGTTCCTGTCCGGGTGGCTCGGGCTAGAGTGCTCCCTCAGCTTTTTCACCTAATAAGAAAGTCTTGCTTTACGTTGAACTTACGTTTTATCTCCTAATTGACTTTGGCCCATGTGTAGTTTATCAGATGGTGTAGTTGTTTGGTAACATATGTGGTTTATTGAACAGGGGTACAGTGGTGCAGATTTCATTAAGCTGAAGCCATGTGGTATTATGACATAATTAATACTGTATAATCTGAAATAATGGTGATAACTTGTTACATGTAGCGCACAGCTGTCACGACATAGTTGCTCATGAAAAGTATAGCTGTTGTGTTGCCATTGTTGACATGCTGTGCCAGATTAATAATTTTCCTTTGTCTTTATTATATACAGCTAAATCCCTGGCCTGCTTTTATCAATGAGCGTTTGGAGATGTACAATAAACTTAAGGCTGAACATGATGCACTCCTTGCAGAAAGAGCTGCAAATGACAGTAAACCCATTAAAGTTACATTACCTGATGGCAAGCAGGTTGATGCCGAATCTTGGAAGACTACTCCTTATCAAATTGCGTGTGGAATTAGGTGTGTTTCTGTTCTGTGAAGCTACACAGTCAGTTTCAGACACTGAGTTTAAGGGGATGAGTAACTATAATTATTTCTTTGTAATTTATCTCAAGTCTTCTCGAAGCATCTTGTATGCAATGAACTGAAGGTAACTAGCAGGGTTTTAGTTTTGGAGTGCAGTTTTCTTTTGCCTTATAAAGATGAAGTTTCTGACATTAAATAAGAATAAAACTGGGGTATTTTAGACACATTTTAATAGTGTATTTTTCCATCCAAGTACTGCTGTTGCATTAAGAACTGATTTACTATTAAATTACCAAATGGAATGTTAGCACTGCAAACCAGTTTGCATTGATCCAAGGAAGATGACTGCTGGGTGATGTTTCAATTGATTACAGAGAAATTTAACAGTATGAATATTTTTCACTTTAATTTGCATGGGAGATATCTATTAAAAAGAGTGTTGCACATCTCCAGGTTACACATAACTGCTGTGGAGTATTTTCGAATCATTCAGAGTGAACATCCTGACAATTAACATTGCAAAGATTGGGTGATTCCTAAAGGTGAAATGCCCCTTTTTTAAATTGTTTTTTCCCCTGTCCATAATAAGGTGCCATGTCATTGGAACCTCCTTTGCTTCTGTGATTTGGGACCATGAAAAGAGTATTTTGCCTAGCTGATACAAACAGTAAAGCTACTATGCCGAAAATTGTGTTTGATAGCTTTAAGAGAGTAGTTTGCTCTTATATTGCAGTAGGATTGTGAAGTCAGATTTGTACTTGGAGGATGCTGCCTCTAAGTCAAATATGTATGAAGGTTAAGTATATAGCAGAGTTTTCTTCCCATATCCCTAAAATATAAGTAGGATTTTTCATGAATATTCAGGACTGGCTAAAATAGTCATTTATTTAGAATTTTTTTATGACATTATATCCACTCTGAGCACTGTAAAGTCTTATTCTAACTGGAGGGCAAATTTGGGGAACTTGTGCTTGCTGACTTCAAAGTACAATGTACTTTCTTATAATTGTACTTCTGTGTTTGTTCTGTAGTCAGGGATTAGCTGACAACACGGTTATTGCCAAAGTGAACAAGGTGGTTTGGGATCTAGACCGTCCTTTGGAGGAGGATTGTTCCTTGGAGCTGCTGAAGTTTGAGGATGAAGAGGCTCAAGCAGTGAGTATCTTTTGCCAAAACGTTTTTTGTTTCAGGTTTACATTTAACTCAGCCTCTTGCAGTTATTTAAATATTTACTGTGTTCAGAAGATGAAGAAAACAGGTACATCTGCATTTCCTCATAGCTCCTTACTGAGGAGTTGTGGTACTACAGGTAATTTACATTCTGCTGCGTACTTGTAGCCAAGTCTCCTTGCAGTTGCTGTAGTTCTTGTTAAAAATTTATATTTTCAGCCTTCATGTTAATGTAAAGTGGGTCTTTTGAACTGACATCTTCAGCACTGATTTTGGGAACAAAAATACTTTCTATGTAGTATCATAAAAGTACAGAGCAGACTGCTCTTTGTGTTTGTGTGTGTGCAAAGGTATCTGCTTTTTTTACTCTGGCTACTCAGTCATATAAATGTGTACAGCCAGTAAACTTGTGATTAGGTTCTTTAGAAAAAAATCAGTTGGTACAAGAAGCTGTCAATGAAATTCATCATGGAAGTTTTACATTCAAACCTAGGGTTTTCCTATTGGCTAAATGACAGTTTATGATTTCAGTTTGTGCTGTTAGAGTCTGCAGTTAGGGGCAGGCTAACTCTTAAAAGATTTGGTTCTGTCAAAATCTCAGGTGTTCTGCAGGATGGAGTGTGCAGGATTTCTTATGCATAAGATTGCTGGATTAGAACCACAGCCTTATGTTGAAAGCACATCTTTTGGTCATTAAGCAGATCTGATTGATTAAAGTTCGTAGAAAAAAAGATTTCTGAATTAGTGTCTTCACTTCTTGAGAATAATTAAATCATGGTAGCAACAGTTGAAAGTAAGAATTGTTTGCTACCACAATGTAAGTTTTCCGGTGGAAATACTACTTTTTGGAAACATTGATGCTGAGGATGCGAGTGGTGCTGGCAGGTCACTTTTGTTCTGCACACTGCTCTAATTTGGGATGTGCCTCAAGTATCCTTGAAAGCAAGCATTTCAGAAGAGGTTTTAAATGGAACAATTGGAAATGCATTGTGTGTATTCAAAACTGATCCCTTCTTTTTTTACTTCTGTTAGGTCTACTGGCACTCAAGTGCTCACATAATGGGTGAAGCTATGGAGCGAATCTATGGTGGTTGTTTGTGCTATGGCCCACCAATAGAAAATGGATTTTACTATGACATGTTTCTTGAGGAAGGGTAGGTTTTGTATTTTTCTTTGTTTAGGAGCTGGGGTGGGTGGCAGTCACAGAAAATTTCTGCTGTGTGCTTGTTCCTAGAATAAAGTCATATGTACTGCTGCAGATGGCTTTGGTTCTTTTGCAGGATAGCCCAGCTACAGGTTGGTGCATTGCACCAGGATGACAAATTGCAAATGAAAGCAAAAATTACTCACTTCTCTGTGTGTGTTTATTTTAGGGGTGTATCAAGTAATGACTTCGCTGCTTTGGAAACATTATGCAAGAAGATCATGAAGGAAAAACAAGCCTTTGAAAGACTGGAAGTTAAGAAGGAAACACTGCTTGAAATGTTTAAGGTGGGCTGTTACTGAAGGTTGTTTCTAACCTCGTGCAAGTATTTGTAATTTCAGGGCATGTGTTACAAGGTGATATGCTCTTAGAAACTCATTTTTGATACGTAATTAAAAAAAAAAAAAGAAAGTAATTTTTAGGTTCTTGGAAGTAGGCATTCTGTTTTTCTAAAACTGAGAATTTTCTAAAACTTCCCCAGGGTGATCTAACTAAATTCTGTGAAGCCACATTCTTTATTTACTTCCCAGAAATGTAAATTTGCGGCATATTATGTATGCAGTTATGTTTTGTTACCTTGTCTGTGGTGATACTGTGACTGCATATGTTGCTGCATTCAGAAAGCTTTATAGAACATTTTTTTAGAAGAAGGACTTCTAAAAGAGTGCAAGCAGCATTAAAACCTGATCCTTTATCTCTCGTATCTAGCTGCAAATAGTTTTTTGGCATTCCCGAGGTAGACATTGAGTTTTCACTGTTAGGGCATCAGGAGAATCATAGCATCATTCAGGTTGGAAGGTTCTTCCAGAGGTGTCCAGTCTCATGCACAGGGCATGGGATCAGACATGGAGACACTGAGATCAGGTTTTCTGGGCTTATCCAGTTGGGCCTTCAGAACTCCTAGGACAGAGATTGCACACCCTGTTCTCTAGGCACATTGCTCCACTACTGTCTGTACTCCTGTCTGTCTCTTTTACAGGCCTGATGCAGCACAGCATCAGGTTTGCAAATAGTTTAAGCTGTTGTCCACTACTCTTTTTGAAACAAGGAATTAACAAGCGTGTGTGCTGCTTTTCTTCTCAGTACAATAAATTCAAGTGTCGCATTCTGAATGAGAAGGTCAATACCCCAACTACTACAGTATACAGGTAATTATGCATGGATTGTAATATTATTGGGTTTGTGGCTGGGATTAAATACACCAAATAAATGCTTTCCTTTTCTTAGGTGTGGTCCCCTGATAGATTTATGCAGAGGGCCTCATGTCAGACATACTGGCAAGATAAAGACCATAAAAATTCATAAGGTAAGTGCTGGAACTGTCCTACACAAAGGTTTTCAATGCAACACGTCTGGTGCATTGCTGCCATTAGGCTTAGTTTCACAGTACATTCCTGGCTAAGGAATTCCAGGTTACTGCGTAACCTGGCCAAATACTTGGTGTTACAGATTGTGAAAGGGTTGTATGCTAGAATAATATTTGCATGGTGTGAAGCCCAACTAGGTGTCCAGGGCCTGCACTTCCAGTACAAGAGTGTGAGTTTGGCTGAACTGTATCAATTAGAATTTATAGTTTCTGCTTAGCTGATGTTTATAGCTATTTGTGAATAAACAGTTGGAATAGGATAGCTACAAAGCAGATGGGCTTTTAAAAAAGACAAGAGCCTGAAACCATTTTTACTTACTGTATTTACCTTTAAGGATTTTTCTAATCAGTGATCTAAATTTCACATTAAAAATCTCCTTAGGACTTAGTTGTTCCACAGTAATCATTTATTAATAATTGTATGCCTTTTCATAGCAGGCAGAAGCAGTAAAATGTGGAGGCTTCCCCTTTTCTTCAATCTTTAATTTGTTTTTGCATTCAGAATTCTTCTACCTATTGGGAAGGCAAGGCTGATATGGAATCCCTCCAGAGGATCTATGGAATTTCATTCCCAGATACAAAAATGCTGAAGGAGTGGGAGAAGTTCCAGGAGGAGGCGAAAAGCAGAGATCACAGAAAAATTGGGCGGGTGAGACAGCTTTTCTAGTAATGTATTCCAAAAGCACTGTGTGGATATAAGCCCTTGATTAAAACATCTTGAAGACAGCCTATACTTGCTGCCACAACCAAGGCATGACACAATTTTATTTTCAGTTGGGCTACGAAGTCACCTGCTTTTCTCAGGAGCATCAAATCCTAAAATAAATAACTTCTTTATTCTTTCAACACAATGGCATCCTTATTGCGCACATGGATCAGAACGGAATATAAAGACTTCAGTTTGCAACCCATGAATGCTCCAGTCTGCAGGCACTGCTCATTCCTACACAGTTTGCTGCAGCCTGTTCACGCAGTTCTTTCCTTCTGCATGATTTCAGAATTTGCAGTATACAGCTGTGTTTTTTGTCTGGCTGGTTTTTGGGTTTGGTTTTTCAGATGGAAACCCCTGTCAGTTAACTGATAGTTCTGAACAGGGTTAAAATGTCTGCTGCAAGTACATTATGACAAAAGATGCAGATCTGAGGTGTGTGCATAGTTTGTAACAACATCAACCAGCTGTAGTTCACGCATTCAGTTTATGTGCAGATAATTAGAGAGCTGCAGAAGCAGAACTAAACATTGACAAGTAAACGTGCAGAGGGAATTGTGAGGGCACAGTTGGGAGTTAAGTGTAAAGTTTTGGCACATCAGTAATGGTGAAAGAGGAAACTGAAAATTTCCCTCCCCTGTAGTATTTTTGTGTCTGGCTGACAGACATAAAAATACTAGTGAAAATGCATCTGGTGGTGTTTTGGATATTGCTTTTTTTCCCATGTTTTTCTTTTTGAAACTCTTGTTAGTGATGACCAGTCAGTAGCAATCCATTTGTGGATGTTAAGTGAAAAAGGTAGGGTGCAAATACTAAGTTATTAAAGTGTTATTTTCCTGCAGGACCAAGAACTGTTTTTCTTCCATGAGCTCAGCCCTGGTAGCTGTTTTTTCTTGCCAAAAGGAGCTTACATTTATAACACATTAATTGAATTCATACGGGTAAGTAATATCTTTTGGAAATCTTGTAGGAGAAATTGCATGATTTTTAAAAAATACTTAACAGCATGCTATGTTTAACTGTATTAATAGCCCTTCACTTCAAGTTGTCTTTTTGTTGTGTAAGCCATGTAACAAAGGTAAGCTTGGTTCTTTGAATTGGTCTTGTCACAATCTCTGTGAAGTTATGTTTTATCAGTACCTTATACCTGCAGTTAAAGCTGTGATAAAGGTGCTTTGTCATAGGAATTATTTGACATCTAATAGTAGAGCCAAGCTCATACTACTGCTATTCCATGATGCATATTGATTTGTTTTAATAAACATACTTAATTTGACCTTCAATACCTATTTGTTTTGAAAATATATGTAGGAAAAGAATTCTGATCTTCCTGCTGTAAGATTTGCAGTCTGTGTTATTACTGTATATTTGGGCTGCAGTGAAATATATCTAGGGTCATGGAGTAATTAGAGGCTGCTGCATTGCTTGCAGGGAGGAATCTTGTTCTTCTTGCTTACTTTCTACTAGAGAAATTGTTTGGGGGAAGGATGGTGGAAGGAATGTATCCTGGCATGTCCAGCTTCAAGTTGAGTCTTTCTTCCTTCATTGCCTTCCTAAGACATGGGACTTTCATATGGCATCACTTTTGTATTTTTTTGGCTGCAGATTGAAGCCTGTACTTATCTTTGTTTCCTTTGTTAGTTATTTTATATACTGTGCCTGTTTCAGAGTGAGTATCGAAAACGTGGATTCCAGGAGGTTGTCACTCCAAATGTTTTCAACAGCAAACTGTGGATGACTTCAGGGCACTGGCAGCATTACAGTGACAATATGTTTTCCTTTGAAGTGGAGAAAGAAATATTTGCTCTGAAGCCTATGAACTGTCCAGGACACTGGTAAGTACATAGCAAATTCAATTTACTAGAGATTGTGCTGATTAAAAAAAAACCCAAGTGAAACCCACTCAGCTTCCTTTGCCTGTGTAATGATAAGGATGGCTACTTTCAGTCATTCATTCTGTCAGGAATGATGTAATTATATGTCTTGCTGTGTACGTGCTCTCTTCTCTTGAGACACTGAGAAATGTCATGTCGTTTTACCATCATTAGGGTGACTTCATCATTACTGGGGCATTGTCAGTTTTGTGGCAGTTCAGGCATTTTAAAGCTCAGTTTTAGGAGCTGTTTTATCTCCTTTTTGTGAAGAGGGGAAGGCCTACCAGCTGTTGAAGGAGATTGTTCCCTGACAAATCTAGATAAGACTGATATCTCTGTCCAGATTACACCAATGGCCTTACAGGCGTGTGCTTCATCACTGGCTGCTTCTCCCTGACTGTTCTTTGCTGAATTTTGGTTCTGAATGAGCTTCAAGTAATGAACTTTTCCTTCAGCCTTATGTTTGACCATCGCCCGAGGTCGTGGCGCGAGCTGCCGTTGCGCTTGGCAGATTTTGGTGTCCTGCATCGCAACGAGCTGTCGGGAGCTCTCACGGGACTCACCCGAGTACGCCGGTTCCAGCAGGACGACGCTCACATCTTCTGTGCTATGGAGCAGGTGGGGGCTATTGCTAAGTGAAACTGGGTAGTAAAAGCAGGCAAACTGAAATTTCCATGTTTGAGACATGATTTCTGTTATCATCAAGATTGAAGATGAGATAAAGAGCTGTCTGGAGTTCTTGCGTACCGTGTATGATGTCTTTGGATTTTCGTTTAAACTCAATCTCTCCACCCGTCCTGAAAAGTACCTGGGAGATATTGAAGTGTGGAATCAAGCTGAAAAGGTATAACAGTAGTCTTACTCTTTTCTGTGATGTAAAGCTGCGTCTTCTGTAAGAGCTTACTGCCTTCTGGAAGGTAGAATGAAGCTGGGCTGAGCATGAGAAAAATAACTTTGATAATTGCCTTCAGTTCCGTCTGCCTGCTGTAAATAGTTTGGTCTCAGTATAGAGACAGTCTCCATGTAAGCATCAAATGAGCACTTTCTCCTTGTCTTTTTTTGATAATTAAAAAAGGAGAAAGATAATCAGTTCTGGCAGCCCCTGTAATAAAACTTAGAGCCACCTCCCAAAAGTGAGGCTGAAAGAGATGGGGTTGGCGACTGCAGGTGCAGTACTGGGGAGAAGATAGGGCAGGAATAGACATTTGGTGTACCAGGGCAGATTTCATCTCTACATTACCTACAGACTTTGAATTTAGTATAAAAAGTTCTTATACCTTAGCTAATGCTTGTTTGGCCTCATCCAAAATGAGTACATTGATTTTGTGTGTTTAAATTCAGACTTTTTTTTTTTTTTTGGCTGGTGCTCTTCCAAAACTTTCCTTTTTCAGAAAATAGAAGTGTTTTGGCAGTTACTGAGAAGTAGTAAGAATTTGGTAGAGTCACCTATTTGTAGTAGCAGGCTGACCTGAAACTGTAATGTGTAAAGAAATGCTGAGTGTGTGTGTCCTTTATCTCCAGCAACTTGAAAACAGCCTCAATGCCTTCGGTGAGAAATGGGAGTTAAACCCTGGTGATGGAGCTTTCTATGGACCTAAGGTTAGTGTGTTGCTAACCCCTCCCTGGATTTCATTTTTAATTCTGATTGGGTAAGGCAAAAGGCTGGGATGAGGAAGAAAGAATATTTTTTTTATGTTAGCCCATTTTAAGATGCTGTCTGACTGAAATTCGCTGTTTTTCCAGATACGTGAACTCTAACATACTTGAGAGAGAAATAATCTTCTATGATTCTGGTTTTCACATAGTTTTAACTGCTTTAACACTCATTTAGTTAATTAAACATGAATAAACTATTTATCTGCTGCTTAAACAGCTGACAGGTGGGTGACATAAACACAAGGTGGCACTATATGACCTGTTTTAGCAGAGCAGCTTCTGCATTGCAAATAATCCTTTCAGCAGTGAGTGAATCCTGAGTCAGGAGAAAATCTAAAGTAAACTTTCTGGTTAAACAAATTTTTATTCCCTGAACTGCACAATTTTGAAGTTGCATTGAGTTACTGGTGGTTTTTGTTAGTTTAAAAATCCCCACTCAGTGATCATGTGAATTTGTTGAGTTTCTTAAGAACAGTCTCCTTAGTTTAGACAGAGTAAATAGGGCTTTTTAGAAACTTCATTGTTATCCTTGCTCCTAAGGACACAGAGTATTATGAAATAGCTTTAAAATCTTTCCCTAATATGCCTTCACTACATTTATATTTGTGTTCTCATCTAGTAAGCTGGTTCTGATTTCTGTATTTGTATGCCAGTTGAATCACTTTTGGTTTGTGTCATTTTTTAGGTAAAATGTGTTACAGCAGCTCATATTTATTAATTTCTGTATTTGACTGAAGGAAGACAAATATACAGGAACTTTTGTTAACATTAATTAATCTTACACGTGCTCTTCTTATAGTCTGGATTTGAAATGAAATAAGGTTGTAAATAATGTATTTTGACTAGAAGCTCTTTGACTAGCTGAATTCTGATAAATTGAATTCTAGATGCAAAATTGAAAGACATTTAGTTCTTGAGTTGTTAAAATACTGCTCTGTTTGTTTATTACACAAATCAAAATAAGGCGTACTGCCTTAATATATAGCCTGATATATACTGGTAAAATGATGAGTAAGTGAGCAATGTAATAAATAAATAATGTCAGGACACTATAAGTCTACTTTTTTCTGTAAGTCCTCTAAGTTGCATCATAAGTGTACTCAGAATTTAAGTGTTAGATACAAAAGAAAGAACAGGTTTCACTCATACAGAACAAGTGTCACTGATTGATAGGAGCTCCTGCTGGTAAGTGGACTGTTTAACAGATTCTTGTCTCTTGTTCATGCCCTGAGTTTGTAACACAAGCTGCAAAGTCCTCAAATACTGTATAATAAAGAAGTGCAAATTTGCCACTTTGAGGCTGAAGAAGTCTCGTTTGTGGGGACACATGTTCAGTTCTCCATTTATGTTCTGCTGTACTCACTCAGTGAAAAGGCCCATGAGAAAGTTCCAGGCTTTCAGACTCACAAAATGTCTGAGACATTAAATGTACTTCCCATCTGATATATTATCTCTCTAGTTACTCACCCTGTTTTAGCTCTTAACATTTTTTGCATCAGAACCTGCAAATCATTTAAAGCCTAATGAAAGCTGAAGTAAAACTGTGCTGCTTGAACTTTGAGTTTAAGCAGCATAGTTTTACTTCAGCTTTCATTAGGTTTTAAATGAAACTTAAATTTACTTCAGCTTTCATTAGGCATTAAGTGAAGCTTAAAGTTTCACTCAATGCATAGAATTTCTCTGCATTGAGTGAAACTTTCCATCTCAAAGCAATGAATTTGCTTTCAGAGGGAAGTGCTTATCTCTTAACTATAAAAGTTTATGCCTTTTTGTTTTTCAGATTGACATTCAGATTAAGGATGCCATTGGCCGCTACCACCAATGTGCTACAATTCAGCTCGACTTCCAGTTGCCAGTCAGATTTAACCTCACCTTTGTCAGGTAAGCACAAAGCCTGGTGGCTTTGGTTTCTGTATAATCTAACTTCAGTGACACTTACAGGGATAAAGTTGCATCAAGACAAAAAGCCTCACAAAAGCATTTCTTTACAGCCATGATGGCAATGACAAGACTAGACCAGTTATCATTCACCGGGCTATCTTGGGATCTGTGGAGAGAATGATTGCCATTCTAACTGAGAACTATGGAGGCAAATGGTAAGGCTGAAAAGTTATTATTCCAGCTCAAACAAACTCTTCACGTAGGAGAGAAATTAGCCCCAAGTACTGGAGAGTTAAGAGGGTCTGTTTGTTGCAGTTGCTTGCTAGGGCAACATGCCTAGGAATACCACAGGGCAATTTCTTCTGAACCACCTTCCTTAGATGTTAAATTATTCAAGATATGGTCGATTCTACAGGTGCAGCATAGAGCTAGTCTGCCCACAGCATATGCATTCCAGCTGCTTGTGCCGCAGGACCATCTTGTAAAGAGTCATTTATGTGGGTGATCTGCTTTACCTATCTTAATACCCAGTAGGGGTGACCCCTCTGATTCTGACAAGACTCAAAGGTAAAGGTTTTCCTGTCCTTAGTTAGTAATGAGCTCAATCTGTTAGGCTTTGTTATCTGTCATAAAACACAACAGCAATTTTCCAGTCAGCGAGTGCTCGTGCCCACGCTGCAATCCTTTTAGACACTCAGTTCTTTTGGGGAAATAATTGTAATGAATATAGGGCTCTCATCACCTCTGAATCCAATCTGTGCAGCTGGCTTTAAGAGTCTCTTGTGTAGATTTTATTCCTCTCTGTAAATAGTATTTTTTGTAGTGAAAAAAACAATGAAAGCTATATAAACTTGTTTTGTCTGTTTATTGAAGGCCACTCTGGCTGTCCCCACAGCAAGTAATGGTGGTACCAGTGGGACCAGCATGTGATGAGTATGCTCAAAAGGTGATGTATATGGTTTCAGGGCTCTGATTTCAGTATATTGTACTGATCTGAAATACTTAGTTCTTAATGATTAATAGTATTTATTTCAGAGATGTATTCCAAGTCTTTGCATATTACATTGAGTCATTTTTTATATCACAGTGACAATTAGCCGCTGAAGTTGTAGATCTCTTAAAGATAACCTGAGTTAGATTTTGGATATGTGAATAATAAATGTTGATCTTTGTGAGACTTTTATTTTTGGAAAACTTAGTTTTTCTCTTGCTCAGATCTGTCTTACCCGTCAGGTTCTAGTCCCCCATGGCCATGTGTCTCTTGCAGAGCAGTAAGAAAGATGAAGATGAGTCTTTGCAGATTTAGCATCCAGGACACCTCTGCCTGTTGTTCTTTCAAGCACGTTATATACAAATAAAATAGTTTGCAAATTTTTTTTAAAATCTCTTCTAATCAGTAAGCTCCATTACGCTGTTGCCTTTTACAGTGTCAAACTTACTACTCAGCCCAAACATTGGATGTTCACATCACTGCTTACTTATTGTGTGTATAGTTGCATGATAGCTGATGTATTTTAATTTCTTGAAGTGGATTCATCTCAGAAGCCTGAACCCATGAGAGTGCCTTTGTTTTAGGGTTCAGATAATCTGAAATGGTTTAAATCTACAAGTCATGAATAGTTCATGGTCATGAATATCCAGTAGTGACAGTTCTGATATTTTTTCCTTAGGTCAGGCAGCACTTCCATGATGCTGGATTTATGGCAGATGTTGATGTAGATCCTGGGTGCACACTGAACAAGAAGATCAGAAACGCTCAGCTTGCTCAGTATAACTTTATTCTGGGTAATGTATTAGTTACCTTGTACTGGCTGACCCTTTTGTTACAGGGTTTGATCATTTTGTGAGCAAGGCAGAGAGCTGTAATCAGTGTTTCAGGTCAGTTTGTTCCTGAGAGTCTCCCCTGCAGAGAACCTCTCCTGCTGACATCATAGGCATTCCTGGTTGGGACAGCTATTCCTGAAGGGAGATCACTGTGACCCAAGGCGTTATTGATACTTTTTGCTGTCTTCTGGTCAGCAGTATGGGGATAGATGGGAAGTCTCTTGTCCTTTATCAGTCAGGTTTTAAGTAATTTTCCCTCCTCCCAATAATTTATGCTCTTGCTTCTACTTCAGCAAAAGAAGTATGTTTCCATTGCATTCAGCCATGGTACACTTCTGAACTAGGCATGCATGCATAAGAGAAGCCTCTTTCAGAGAGAATAATGCAGGAAAAATTAGAAACTCATCCTGAAGTACATGATTTGGAGCAGCATGTTAGTCCTGTTGTGTAAACTGGGGATCTAGCATTGGGCTTAAAGCCATCTGGGATCCATTAAGAGTAGAAGGAGCCTTTGACAGAGAAACTCTACCCTCCAAGTAATTGAAAGAATGGTGAAGAATCATTTTATTCCTTTGCCTCTTGGTTGTTTGTAGTTGTTGGTGAAAAGGAGAAGGCAAGTGGAACAGTGAACATCCGCACCCGCGACAACAAGGTGCATGGGGAAAGAACCATTGCAGACACTGTGGAGAGGCTGCTCCAGCTGAAATCCTCTCGTTCCAGACAAGCTGAAGAAGAATTTTAACACCATCTGCTCTACCTGGCATATAAAGAATTTGTAGTTTTCCTAATTTAGTTAACCAGAGTTTTTGTTCTGAGCCAGATTTGAAGTATATTTCACATTTGGACCTCTTGCTCATTTTAATGGGGATCTTTCTTTAGTCAAAAATGCCTCTTTTTGTATTAAAAAAAAATCAAGTTTTTCAAAAACGTGGAAGTAAAGTGTCCTGGCTTTTAACCAGTGACATATGAAGCAAGATAAAATGACTTTCTGTGACTGCAAGGAAAGATTGAAACATTAATCAGAGGTATCTCTGGCATTCTATCTGCCCTGTTAAGAATAACATACATTTTGATAACATATTTTTCATGTCAGTTTAACAGTAGACCTCAGGCTTAAGAACCCACATAGTACCCATGTGCTGCAGCAGCAGCTTCTGGAGTGTCTCCATGAGCAAAGAAGGTGATAACTTGCTATCCTGTCTCATGGTCTCTTACCAGCTGTGAATATATTGGCTCTCCAGAGCTCCCAGTCACATGAATGGGGACATGAATGGAGGCTCCTTCTTCCATAGTGGTTGTTACCTCTGGCAGTGTCCCAGCCCCTGAAGTCAGGCATTCCTGACTCCACAGTGGGGCCTGTGCCACAGAGCACAGGGCTGCTAACCAGAGCCTACTGTGCCCCTTTCCAAAGGCAGTCTCTGAAATGTGCTGGCTCTGCAGGTAAGGGCCTCAGAGCTCTAGAAAGGGGATAACACTGTCTGGAAAACGCAGGGCACAGTAAGGCCAAAGCAGCAGGTAGTACTAGGAGTAAAGGGTATTTCTGTTCATATCTCTGAGCTGTCGTTGCAGTAAGGTCATCTCTCACACACAAACAAGAATGTACTAAGGTAGTGATTATTTCTTTAAGACAAATGCTGCTTTTCACTTTAATAGGTACAGTCCCATCCAGGCTTCCTTCCCAAACCTCTAATCCAAGGTATCACTTAATTAGCAGCTCTTCCTATCTTACTGCTGAGGGCTCTCATCTGTTGATTCTGGGTTTGGGTTGGGGTTTTCCTCTACATCTGGCTAACAAGAGGCAAATGTCTGTCACTGACAAAAAATAAAATCTTGGTCTGAGGTTTTTTTTGCATCTTTTTTATTTTATTAGTCTTAACTAACTTGAACAGTTTCAAAAGGTGGTTGGTAAATGAAACTGTTCATTTAAAAAGAAAAAAAAGCTATTGCTACAGCCTAAGCAAAGATCAGACAAGTCTGAAGACAAGTTTGAGCTCACTCACCTTTTGAAAGCCTCCATGTCTTGCCATTTCCATTATATATTGTCTGGTCAGAAGCATTTCATCCTGTGTTTTCTCACCTATTTTACTCAGGGGTGGTGGTCACATCTAATCAGTATTTGAACCCTTAGTGAATTCAGACTCAGCAGACTCTAACCCCAGCAATTTTCTGCAAAATCTATTTCATCCTACTTTCATTCATGGTGATTAAAGGTTCCATCTAACTGCTGTGGGGGGAAGAGGGGGAAATTGATTTTTCCCTGCCTTGCTCTTTCAGAGTTACTTTTGTAAGGGTTGTTATTTTCTGTATTTTGCACCTGCTCTTCTTTGCTGAGAAGTGGCTGTTGCCCATGCAGTCACTGCAGTGGAAGCAGATGTCAGCTATCCCTGGGGCAGCAGGACTTCATCAACTGGTGAAGCAAACCCAGTGTAGGTACCAGTAGCCCAGAGTAAAGGAGCCACTAGCTCTGTTTCTCTCTAGAAATTGTGCTTCATATTGCCTTTCCACTGGTGTATTTGTTGATTTGCAGAGAGCTCTCCTTTCCTTTTGTGGGGATCCCTGGGCACACCAGACTGCCCGGGTTGTGTAGTGAGAAGCTGGAGCTGTAAAGCAGCTTTTTATGGCACAGCAGGTGTCAGTTTTGGAGAGGCTGTCCCTCTACAGCAACCTCATTTGCTGAGATTGTGCCCTTAAATACCAGCAGAGCAATGGGTATGTACTGTGTGCACACATTTCTGGAAACACTGCCCAAGGCAGGGTTAGGCACAGCACAGAGCCCTGCAGGGTCCTGACAGGACTGGGGTGTCTGCCTCCAGATCGGGTCAGCGCAGTTCAGCTGTGGCTGTGCACAGAAAGAAAACTGGCTCTGAGGCTGAGCTCCCCCAGCCCTTTCCCTGCCCGAGCACAGCCTTCAGCAGTGCTCTGATGGCTCCATCTGGCTGCAGACAGCACCCCAGGAGTTATCGTCATAAATCTTCCTAGCATGAGCCAGCCCAAGAAGCATCTGGTAGGCCAATATTACTGTGAGTCAGTTGTCTTATTCCATAGATGGTGACAGCTGAGGGCCTGATGGGCTCTCCTTTATGGCAGTGCCAGCGTGTCTCCTTGAGTAAGGACTCAGCTCGGGGGTAATCCTTGAGGCTGGGAGAATCCTTGCCACAACCAGTTCTCAGCAAGTGATTAACAGCATGCTAAACTTTGAAATACTGGCTAAGTGGTAAAAAAAGATGGATTGTGCACATGTAATCCTTTAGACAGAAGCTGTTGACTGAGTCTGGGACTAAGCCTGAATCCAGCTGCACCTAGACTCCCCTCAGAAAGTGTTGAATGCCTGGGACTCCTCCCTGAACCTCATGACTCAATGGCAGTAGGGTCTCCCTACAACAATTTTGCCTGATCCTGTTCTTTATGCAGTGAAAATCAAGTGTACCTTGACACTGAATCACAAGATTCACTGTTGCATTTACAATCAAGCTTCAATAGATCACTGTTTTACATTGATAAACATACTGCTATTTCTTGGTTACAAGTGCAGTGCTTCATCTATAGCACTGGCCTGGCACAAGCAGCACATTTCCTCCCATGGTTCAACCAGAATTCCTCTGAACAGTGGCTTTGGTCACTGCTTACCATCCTTGGTAGCATAAGCTCCCCCCAAAGTACTGTGTCTCCTAAGGTGTCTCCTAAGGCAGGATAATGCAGCTTGGCTGTCATAGATTGATGGTGGGACCACTTGTCAAGCAGGAAAGAAGCTCTTAAATAATTCATTCCAGGAGAAGGCTGAAACCCACCTCTCTAGTTTGGCAGAGCCTGCTCTGATTGCCAGCATTAGGTACGAGACGTTCAAGTAATTTGCAATTTGCTTTTCACTCTGTATATCCCTAGGAAAGTTTTCATGGGTGTTTCCTGTGGAGTATTTGGTAAGGTATGTCTCCAACTTGGCTTTACTTCACAGCAAATTTAATTTGACAGAATCACTGAATATGCTGAGTTGAAAGGGACCCACAAGAATCCAAGAAGTTCAGCTCCTGGCCTTCCACAGGAGCATCCCCAGAAAGCACACCTGAGGGCATTGCCAAATGCTTCTTGAGCTCTCTCAGGCTGCTGCTGTGACCACTTCTCTGGGGAGCCTGTTGCAGTGCGCAGCCACCCTTTGGATGAAGACTCTTTTCCTGATATCCAACCTAAACCTCCCCTGACACAACTTCAGGCCATTCCCTCAGTTCTGTCACTGTCACCACAGAGCAGAGATCAGTGCCTGCCCCTCCTTTGCCCCTCATGTGGGAATTGTATCTGCAGTGAGGAGTCCTCAGTCTCTTCCAGGTTGAACAGCCCAAATGACCTCAGCCAATCCTCACATGGCTTTCTATCGAGACCCTTCAGCATCCTCATTGCCCTCCTTTGGACACTCTCTAATGGTTTCATGTCTTTCTTACACTGTGGCACCCAAAGCTGCCCCCAGCACTCGAGGTGAGGCCGCCCCAGTGCAGAGCAGAGCAGGACAATCCCCTTCCTTGCCCGGCTGGTGATGCTGGGCCTGATGCCCCCAGGGCAGGGCTGGCCCTCCTGGCTGCCAGGGCACTGCTGGCTCCTGTTCAGCTCACCATTGACCAGGAGCCCCAGGTCCCTTTCCATGGCTTTGCTTTCCATGGCAGTGCTCTCCAGCATCTCCTTCCCCAGCCTGTCCGTTCACCCAGGGCTGTTCTGGCCCAGGTGCAGAGCCCAGCCCTTCCCCTTGCTGAGCTTCATGCAGTTGGTGATTGCCCAGTCCTCTCATTTGTCCAGGGCCTCTCTGCCCTCAAGGGAGTCAACAGCTCCTCCCAGTTTTGTGTCATCTGTGAACTGGCTTAGCATCCATTACAGTCCTGTTTCCAAATCATTTATAAAGGTGTTGAAAAACAAAGGGCAGAGAATGGAGCCCTGTGGAACCCCACTGGTGACAGTTGGACATTTTGTCCAGATCCTGTGAGAGACAGTATCGAAAGCTTTGCTGAAACACAAAAATTGAGAAGGCACATGGAATGACAGGGAAGGAAGATACCTTATTGACAGATCATCCAACTATATACAAATAATGTATGGCAGTAATTTCTGTATCTGTCAGGAATCACTGTGCCAGGATTCAGTGTTCTGTGTAGCTCCTCAGTACTACAAACTTCCTGAAAAAGTTTCCTCTGGAGCAGAGCCACCTGGATGCTGCTACTACAAAGGGTAATTCCAGTAAGGTGCTCCCTGTCCTATCTTGGGATGATAATACTTACTCCACTACACCACTGGGTCAGTCTGATGCAGTTGCAGTATTGAGATTCAGGCAAATATCAATTCCTCTAGAAGCAGAGGAGGATAACCCAGCTGTGAGATAAACTGTTGCTGTAGGCACCTTTACTCAGTCTGTCTTGCCTGACTACATTTTTCCTGACTGCATCCAAACCCAGTCCATATATGCTCCTTGATAAAAGAGAATTGTTTCACTAAGTGACTTTTTCATTGTAAGACTAGACCAAGATTAAGTGGTCTTTGAAAACTCATTTGAGGCCTTCAGCTCCTGTCCTATGTAATTTCCTTATTGCCTTCTCCATTATTTCTGAATTGCACAGTCATTTCTGGCAAAAATCTAAGCAATTGGCCCTCAAATCTGACAGTGATGAAGTGATGTGATGAAATTGAGAATTGCTAAAGGTTACACTTATTTTTTTAAAAGATAGAATTTAGTGATTGGTGCTTAAAGAGAATTGACAAAATCATTCAGCCTTTCTACACACTAGTGCTTTCTGTCTGCCTTGGACAGGAATATTCTTTCAAAGTTGTCTGGATGTGGCTGATGCCTTGTTAACCACTGTGACCGAGCATGCTCACACAGAATGAGACACTTTTGGACTTCCGCCAAAAGTTTTTAGTTTAATTTTTTTCATGTAGCCTCTGGAGCAAGGCATGCATTAACAGCTTCTGATAAATCACTGCAAGAACGTGTGCTCAGATAAACTGGAGCAGCCAGGGACATTTTGTAGTGTTCTCAGACATAAAGGGTAAATCATCTGGGCTACATGTTTAGTTTCAATACATCAGGTATCTGTATCCTTCTGAAAACTGCATCCTTCAAACTGGATCACAAAGCTCTTCTGTGAACAAAAAAAACCTGCTCTATGTTGCCCAGAGGGTAGCTGTGAAA